GATGTGCTCCATCCCCACGAAAGATTACTTCTATGCCAATTTTGTAAATTGCTTTATGTAAGTAGCATCCATATCCTCCTTTTCACTGGGAATAATGGTAATAGTAATAATAGTAAATCTAGTAATAACAGCTTGCATTTATATGACCTGATCAGGCTAAGACTGAGTACCTCAAGCATGACTTAACTTCTCTCTAATTAGCCTGGGCCCAGGGATTCTTCACTTGGCTTTCAGGTAGAACGAGGGCTTGGAATGTGTTCATCTGTCCACACGAGCCACCAATCCCAGAACAAAGACCCTTCTTCCTATGTCCTTCCGTACCTTGGGGAAATAGTCTATTCAACACTGGCATGAATCCTGGGGTAGCTTTAATCTGGCTGAGGGTAAGTACCATGAGTATACTTCACTGACCCATGCCTAGACTATCAAGAAATAAGATCAGGAACTAGACATTGACTTTGTAACTTTGTGGGCTTACCTTTTACATTCTTTCATCCTACCCCACTTTCCTTAATGATTTATAATCAATCACATTACCTTTGAAATTGAGAATATAACAATTTACTACCCTATGACTCCATTTAGAATACCTATGATTCTGAATCTCTTTCTGCCTATCCTATACCTTCCCCAAAGAACTACTCCTTGCTGCTTCATGCCCAGTCTTGTCAGTCATATCCCTCAGTGTCTCTGTCCCATGTTTCTCTAGCATTTTCTCATGCCCTCAGGAAACCCTATTCTATAACAAACTGTCCTTCATACTTTATTAGACCTGAGGCTTTCCCTTGGAAATTAATATGTGTATATTTTTAGTTATTTACAGTTGTACTTATTGCTTTCCTCCAACAGGATGGTAGATTCCTTGAGAGCAGACAGTCACTAAGCATTTATGAAACTCTTATGTTACAGATACTGTGCTAAGTATCTCTTTGTCCTTAGTACTAGCACGATGTCTAGCACACAATAGGCATTTAACAAATGCTTGCCAAATTAAGTTTATTAAGGTCTGCAAAGTACCTGTTTTAATGGATCTTCACAACAACCTTATGAGGTAGATATTATTATTATTCCCAATTTACAGATGAGGAAACAGAGGTTAAGAAAGTTTAAGTGACTTGCCCAGAGTCACACATTGAGCAAGTATCAGAGGACATATTTTTATGTAGGATTTCCTGCCTTCAAGCCCAATTACTCTTTCCCCTATGCAATGAAACAATTAGTAGTTTTGTTTTCAGAGATTATCGCTAAAGAACATGCACTATGGTGGTGGCAGCAGCAGTATGAATAAAAAAGAAGGGACAATCCTGGAGACACTTCAGAAGTAGAATCCGGAGGACCTGGCAACAGATTGGCTGTAGGGAGCAAAAAGAAGGCAGAAGACTGCAAGCTGACTGCAAGTTTCCAGCCTCTGTCACCAGAGAGAATGCTGGTGTCCTTGACTGAACAAGGGGAGTCCAGAGGAGGAGATCGACACAGTATGAGTTTGAGATAAATATTTATAATTGAATCTGTAGTTAATATTGTTGATTTGCTATTTTAATACTCATCATCCTTTTAAATAGAAAGTCTACTGTCATGCAAAAATGTAAGCTCTAACACTATATTCAAAGCTGGGGAAAACCTAGACGGTTGCCATAACCATAAGCCATAGCCAGGAACCATCTGGTGGCATAAACCCAAATGACAAGGACTGGACCCATGAAGAAATATCCTAAATTATGCTAACCTGTGAAGAAAGAGAACTGATGGGACTGAGTGCACATTGAAGTGAAGTGCACATCTTTTTCATTTATTTTTCTTGGCTTTTTTTTTCTTATTCCACAAAGAAGACGCTCTATTTCTAGGCTCTGGGGATGCTCTCTGGCTGTTCCTCATGCCTGGAATGCTCTCCTTTCTCTACTCTGACTACTGACCTCTCTGGCTTGCTTTAAGTCCCAACTAAAATCCCACCTTCTCCAGGAGATCTTGTCCAATTCATAATTCCAGTGCCTACCCTCTGTTAATGATTTCCCATTTATCCTACATATAGCTTGATTTGTATGTATTCCTTTGCATGTTGTCTCTCCCCCACCCCGTTAGATTATAAACTTCTTGAGGGCACAGACTGTCTTTTGTCTCTTTTTGTGTCCTCAGTGCTTAGCACAGTGCCTGGCACATATTAGGTGCTTAATAAATGTTTATTGATTTTTTTTCTTCTGGAACATGACTAATGCAGAAATAGATTTTGCATGACTTCATATGTATAATAGGTATCATATTTCTTGCCTTCTCAATGGGGAGTGGAGGGGTAGAGAGGAGAGAATTTGGAACTGTAAAAATATGACTAAAAAAAAAAAGAATGTTAGCTTTTTGAGAGCAGGGGTCATCTCCCTTTTCTATTTGTATTTCCAGTACCTAGCATATAGTAAACATTTAACAAATATATTTTCATTTATCCATTCATTAGAGAGTTGCCTAGGGCACTGAGAGGGTAAGTCACTTGCCCAAGGTTACACAGCTAGTATGTGTCTGAGGCAGGGTTGGAACTCAGGTCTTCCTGACTCCAAGTTCATAACTCTGTCCCCTTTGCCCTCTAGTTGGGGTCTCAGCTTCGTCATCTGGAAAATGGGGAGGCTGGAGTAGATAACCTCTAAGGGCTCTTTCGGTTCCAAATCTACGAACCTATGAGATCCAACTCCTGCCATTGCCCTTCCCTTGCTGGTAAGAGACATTTGATAAGTAGCAGCCTTTTGTCTTTGCATTCTCCGTGCCCAGTAGAATGCCTTCTTTAAAAAAAAAAATGTTAGTTGAATTGAATTAGTTGATTTTACATCAATTCTGTCCAAGAACCTAGAAAATGTTTATGCACACTATGGGTACTAAATGAAATATGAGGCAAAAGATGTCATCAAAGAAATTTGTGAAGACAAAATAGTCATGTGGCAAGAGAGAAATGGATATGCTTTAGATTCTACTGACTGGTATTTTCACAATGAAAAGAGAAAGAGAGGAAAACCTCCAGCGCTTTGGGTGGGCTCTCTCTGATGAACTTGTAGAAGGACACGATCACACAGGATAAGCAGGTGTGGTATGGGTGGGTGGTAGTCTGTATCATAGTAAGGAGTACCTACATGGATGAGATCATATCTATTTGAATACTTGAGTTGAGATATTCAGTAAATATTTGTTGATTGATTTTTTTTTCTAATCCTCTCTTAGAAAACCTCCTAAAGCAGCTTTCAAAGTTCCCACCCTTCACTTCATCAGGCCATTATGGACAATGTCCTTTTCATCTTCCTCATCCCTTTCCTTCCTCTCATCTCAGGTCAATTTGATTGAAGCTTCTTTCATTTGACCAGGAATTCTCAAACCCTAAGCCCATCCTCAAAACTGTGTACTTGTCTTTATTTAAGCAGGTCCTGAAATCCTACGTCCTCTGGGAAGTGTGTTATGTGTTACTACATAAGTCAGAAAGCAGATTTTCTCCAGAGCCAGGCCCAGGGGTAGGTGAGGTAGGCAACTGTCTAATGAATAAATGAAGATATATTTATTAAATGTTTGCTATGTGCTAGGTACTGGGAATACAAATAGAAAAGGGAGATGACCCCTGCTCTCAAAAAGCTGAGGTAGGCAACATACAATAGGAGGGATAGGAGGGTGTATTGACAAGTATATTTTTAACGTATATATTGTGAAAGGTCTCCTGCATAAAGTAACGAATAAAGGCACAAGTTTCCATAAGGAGAGCCCAATTCTCAAACTTTTCCCCTGCTTTCTCTCATCTCCAGATAGGTTTGGGTGACACTCTAGCAATGATCGTCCTTCCCTTTACCCTACCCCACCCTATGCTTAGCCTTGGTTTGTATGAAATATAAATATTTATTCTTGTGTGTGTGTATTTGATGGATATTTATTATTCAGTAGTACATGTCTTTTTCATGTTTGTGTGCAACAATGCTTTTTGTTTGAAACATAAGGTCATGGAAGATTCTTTATATCACTGCACATATATCCTTTCATATCATGGGAAATTTGTACTTTTTTCCATTATAAAAAAGAGGATAGGGGTGAGATAAGCTGTGAGCACCTGTAAAATTTATCAGCTCAGATTTCTTTCTGAAATTAGTCTGATTCTGTTCAATATCAGAATTCTTTTGGGTTAAAGTCCCCACCTTGCCCTTCTAGCTGTCTCTTAGTCAGATTTCACTTTGTATCTGATAACCATTCCTTCCCTGGATTTTCTTTTTCTTCTGCTCTGTTGGAGGATATGTGGTTCAACCTATGATAGTACACAGCCAAACAAACAGGTGTGAAGGCATAATAGGATCTTTGCCAAGTAGAGATGTTTTAAAATGGAGCTATGGAGAAAAACTGAACTCTACTGAATTCCAGGGAGGAGCAAGGAAAGCCCTAAAAGTAAGAATTTCCTTAAAAAATATTCCCAGATCTTACTCCCTACAAATCTCTCACTACAGAGATTTCTTCATCTCTTACTCCAGCTTTGCTGGGCTGACCATCTTAGTGGAAAGAGTCCTGGACTAGGAGTCAGGAGACTCTGGTTTTGTCTAGGGCCGGTTACTAACTAGATTTGAGAGCTTGGACAAAGCTCTTCTTTGGAACTAGGTCCCCTAATGCACAAAATGAAGGGGCTGAGTAGCTGATCCCTAAGGCCTTTCCCCATCTTTAAAATTCTGAGGTTCTAGGATTCCCCGTTTCCCAGCCCCACTGACCCCGCCTTCAAGGCTCCCCTTCCCGTCCCCCCCCCACCCCATCCCCAATTCTCTTTTCCTTAGTTTCTCCAGCCTCCCATAGGGCAGGGTTTGTTTTTACCTCTCAGGTTCTTTTTCTATCCCAGGGAAAAGGCAGTGGGCTTGGGGCGGGTGCATGTGTGTGTGGTGGGGGGTGAGGTCGGTGGGGGGGTGTCGGGGAGGGCCGAAGGAGGCGGGCCCTGATTGGCTGGGGAGGGGGAGTGGAGGCACGGAGTTTCCCACAATGCCCCGGTGCGGTGCAGCCGCGGATGGATGCTGCGGGAAGGGGCTGCCATTTGCTGCCCCAGCCAGCGGCGCGCTGACCTGCCCAGTCTCCTGCAGTCGCCGGCGCTCGGCCACGGCCCCGGTCCTTGCAGCCGCTCCACCTCGGCTCCGCCCGTGGTTCCAGGGGCCGCCGACATGAACACTGGCTCAGGGAGCGGAGAGGAGAAAGGGGTTGCCGGCAGCAGCAGCAGCGGAAGCGGTGGCGGCGGCGGGAGCTGCTGCCGCGGAGCCGAGGGCGGTGTACCGGACACGCGGAGCGCAGGGGCTGGAGCCTCGGCAGCGGTGACGGCGGCGGCGGCGGCAGCAGCAGCCGCCCTGGAGGAGCCTCAGGCCACGGGCCAGAAGGAGAAGGACGAGGCTCTGGAGGAGAAGCTGAGAAACTTAACTTTCCGGAAGCAGGTCTCTTACAGGTAGGAGAGAGAAGCCCAGGAGACCCAGTGATCTCCAAGTTCCTTTAAGGTGCTCCTCAAACCCACTTCATTCGCTTTCCTTCGGAACGAATGTCAGGAAGTCGGAGACACCTGCCGAGCTTCCCTTCCCTTCCCCCCCTCCCCCCCCCCCCCCCCCCCAACCGGAATCTTTATCCTTCGCACAGCTTCGTGTCTGGAGTCTGAGCCTGTTCCTTTCTCATCCCGTCCTCGGGCTGAGCTTCTGAAACCAGTCTGGAGAGAAGAAAGGGTCTGGTCCTTTAGTTCAGAATAGGGATGGGGTGGTGGTGGTAAATCCAGGTAACCTGAGAGTCGTCCCTAAAGTTGCCCATCAGTCACTGCCTGCCTTAGTCACCACTCTTCCAATCCCCCAGATTTCTCTAGGTGGCACCTTGGCACTAACTTAAGAACCGAGATCACTCCGACAGGTAGAAGCGAAGAACAGCTTTAGACTTAAGAGGAAATATTATGGTCACGAAACCTGCAATCAAGAAATTTATATATATATATATACATATATATGTATATATACAATATGCATACATATATGTGTGTCTATGTCTAACTAGAGACCTATCCTTAGTATCATGATCTATGTTGCCTGCGTGTCTTCTGTGCAACAGTGTGGTATGTGCCCAACAGTTTACTGTTGGTGTAATACTGGTGAGACCCATTATTAAGGGGAACACAATCATAATCACTCCCTGAAACTATATTATTGGGGGTAGGGGAGGGAGATTAGGAGGAAGATAAAGGTGGTAGGTGCTGGCAGCTACTCTAGCCAGAATGGTGTGGAAGGGAAGCTCTCCACTGTAATGCATCACACTAAAAGGCAAAAATCAGTGTTATGCAGATAGGGTCAAGATAATTGTCCTATTTGGACAGCTCAAATGGAGAAACTAGCTATTTATCTTATGATAGATTGAGGATTGTGGTAATGTAGGGGCCATAGATTAGTATCATCTATTTCTTATTGAAATTTAATACATTACTTGAAAAAGAGTCTGAAAAAAACAAGCTTCCCTTTTTTTTTTTTAAACTTACATGTTCCTTTCCAGAAAACCATATAGAGTATCAAGCCTGTTAACCCATGTACTGTTATGTAAGCAAAGGCAGATGACAAAGGTGTGTGGGTTTGAAAATGTGTGTGTTTGTGGTGGGGGGAGGGGGTAGATAGGTGAATCACTAAGATCCTTACAGACGTTTTGCCTGCCTGGGGTCCCCCAGACTTACCGCTCTGTTTGCTCTAGTCATTTATTGAGCATAGGTAATATCATTTTAACTTTTTCTCTGTTGCAAAATTGCTGGTGAAGTAGTTGCATTCCAGAATTCCTCTGTTGCATTTTTGTTCCCAGTAGGCTGAGGGAATTTCCCACCTGAGTTGCTCTTTCAGTTACTCACTTAGATCAGGACCAATCAGATTTCGATCTTCATATTTTGGGTTTCTAAAAATAGGGTAGGAGGGGGTGGGAGTGATGGGAAGTGATGGCTCTAGGGAGGCATGTTAGGACATGGAGCATGCTACTTCTTCATCAGTCCTGGGGAAGCTGGAGCTGCCATGCAATCCAGTGCTGTAATGATCAGGAATTAATTTATGTGAATTCAGATTTATACTGGTGGGTCTCTGTTTTCCATGGTCCAAAGCACCTCTTGGCATGGAAGAATCCAACCTTGTCATTTGTGTCAGCTCCTCTCTGTGTAGGTATAAGACTAACATTTGCAAGGGAAAGCTGATCAATTCCCAAAGGGATTTTCTATCTGGTCAGATTTTTTTTTTATGAGAACATATTGGAAAAGATGTCCAGTGCCAGTTGGTGCTCCCATCATTTTCATATGAGTGCATAACAATAGGCTTTTGAATTCCATTTTAGTGAGGTGGGTGCTCTTTAAGCTTCATTTCCCTTTAAAAAAAATCTTTGCTAATTTTCTGAGGTCTTGAAGAGATTTCCCTGTTGTTTGGGGAGTTGTGACCTTTGACCTCATGCCTTATGGCCTACAAAACAGGGAGAGATGATAAGTGAAAGGTGCAGAAGCAAGAGAATAAAGGCAAAAGACCCCTACAGATTAGTCTTGCTCCAGGTAACTTGGAAAGATTACCTTCCCTGATAGCCATCTGCATCCAAGTCAAGTACAGCTGGCCTGAACCCTGAGCATGCTCACAGATGGTCTGAATGGAAGAGAAAGAAAGCTTTTTTATGAAGTCGAGTGTCTGCTTGCCTAGAGGAGCCCTTTACCTGAGCTCTGATAGCACCTGGGGGAAAAGGTGAGGTCATAGCATCACAGGACCATAAGATTATAGATTTAGAGCTGGAAGGGACTTGAGAGGTTATTGAAACCATCCCCCTCATTTTACAGTTGAGGAAATTGAGACCTAGAGAGTTTAAGTGATTTGTCCAGGGTCACACAGTAGTAAGTGTCTGAGGCAAGCTTTGAACCCAAGCCTCCCTTCCTGATTCCAAATGCAGCCTGTTATCTACTTTTTCCTGAGAAAAAGGGGTCAGAAAAAGCTCACAATATGTCTCCAACTTGAGATGGTGTGAGCTCTCTGTGTGTGTTGTGTGATTATGGGGTTGGGGAATGGGTGAGGAGGGAGACAATATCCCATGATCATAGATAAGGCTTTGAGCTGCAAGGAACTTTCCAGATCAGCCAGTCCATTCCCTTCCTTTTACAAATGAGGAAACTGAGAAAAGAAACTTACTCAAGAATATAGTAATCATTAAGTGGTGGAGCTGGGATTTGAACCTGAATTGTTTGACTCCAAATTTAAGGCTTTCCACAGCATCAGTTAAGATTGTTGAAGAATGTTGATATGGATGCAGGCTTGAATTTCAGTGTTTACTCTGTCCTATAAAGAGGTCGGTTTATTTGAATATAGCCTTAGTCTTCCATTTTTAAGTAAGTTAAGAAACTTATGACTGTTAGAGGATTTAAAGTATGAATGCCTTACCTGCTCTATTGCTTTTCTGGGCTCTTTTGAAGAACATGAGCTTCTTGTGAAATGGCACTTGACAGAATGAGGGAAGGGGGTTATGTTTTGGGGGAGGTGTGTGTGTGTGGGGGGTCTCATCATCTATTTCTGTTGCTAAGGAACATATAAGCCAAGGTTTAAAAATAAGTGAGGAGTGGGTGTGCATGCAATGACTCCTGTCTTTTTAGAGACCAGAGCCCTTTTCAAAAGCCTTTAAATAGCCATTTCTGGAGGCAGATTATTCATTTTGCTTGACTTTGACTTTGTTAAGGAAAATAAACTCCTTTCTACCCCAGAGTTCCCCTCATTATCTCATCTTTCCTGAGGTTTTTTTTTGGTGGGGGGAACCATTTTTCCATGAGGAATTTTCCTTTCTTTCAATTCTTGTTCCCCTAGAGCAAGCAAGCAGGTTTTGTAGACAGCTGAGCTGAGGGTTTTATAAGGCAGTGTTAGTGAGCCAGTACTTTTCTCTTAAAATTAGTACCTTTTTTTTCTTTACAAATTATGGTGCTGCAACAGATACATACATGCAAAGGACTATGTCATGTGTAGGAGACTATTTTTTCCTTCCATTTGGACTCCCATTTACATCAGCACAATAGAAGTTATTCTCAGAAATACACCAGCTTTCAGGGGATTCATTTTAGGTCTGCTCTGTAGGTGTGTGTGTGTGTGTGTGAGAGAGAGAGAGAGAGAGAGAGAGAGAGAGAGAGGGAGAGAGAGAGAAGAGAGAGAAAGAAATGAGAGGAGAGGAAGAGAGAGGGAGGAAGAAAAGGGAGAGAGATGAAGAGAAAGAATGAGAGGAGAGAGAAAGAATGAGAAAGAAGGGAGAGTGACAGAGGAAGAATGAAAGGAGAAAGAAAGAAATGAGAGGAGAGGAAGAGAGAGGGAGGAAGAAAGAGGAAGAAAAGGGAGAGAGAAAAGAGAGCAAGAGTGAGAGAGAGGAGAGAGAAATGAGAGGAGAGGAAGAGAGAGGGAGGAAGAAAGAGAGGAAGAAAAGGGGGAGAGAGAGAGAGATGAAGAGAGAGATGAAAGAATGAGAGAGGAGAGAGAGAAAGAGACAGAGAGGGAGAGAGAGAAAGAGAGAGAGATTTTGTGTTTGTGTTCACACAGCTGCCCACTTGCTGCTTTTTCCACTTTCCAACTATTCCAAATGCAGTTCTCCATGACCTTTTAGCTACTTACAGATCACATTGACTCCAACACCTTTGGGTACCTGTACTCCTTCCATATTTAAACTGAAAAAATTCCCTCTGCTGATTTGCAGTTAAGCTTATACATACTAACACATGGCAGGGAGAAAAATATAATTTTTAAGGACTGCCGAGAAACATTTTTTCACCCACATGGCACATGCCATCTCTATGAAGATACCCTTATGAGATTTTCATATGGTGTTAAAAAAATACTACCCAGGTGCAATGTGGGTGAGTATAGATTCCAATGAGAAATTCACACTTCTGCTATCACATGGGCAGCTTAGTGTGAGAATAAAGTATGATTCTGAGAGGGAAGAGCACTGGGATATACTTCTTATGATCTCACCTACTTGCAAAGTGTTTCATTGCCCTTTGCCTTGGTTTCTCTGTCTGTAAAATGAGGGTGGAAATACCTCCTATTTGAAGGGGCAAAAGGAAGGTGAATTAAAACTCATTTGCAGGTTGCTTTATATTGCTTAGACTAAAATGCTGAATATACACAAAGTACTCCAACAAATTTATTTAGTGCCTTTTTTGTTTTTTTTTCCTAATTTGGCAATAAAAGCATTATGTGAGGCATTTAATTTCTTCTGTCCCCAAAACAGGAGCATAAAGATAGAGGAAAGGCTAATGTGAATGTAGGAAGAATGAAGTGGACACAGTTTTTACTTCTTAATTATTACAGACATGGTTCACTTCAAGAAAATCAACTAGGAAAATTAAGAATTTTCTGCTTCATGCAGTGTTTTAGAAAAGGGTTCCCTGGGTACTTATGACTTGTAGTCATTTGGTTACTTGTACATGGTACTGTG